GAATCAATGCGTGACGGACAGCAGTGCAACGGGGGCGGGGTTTGTTCAGGGGAGTGGATGCGTGGCGATTGGTTAGGACGCGTCTTGTTGACTGAAGCAAGATGCGGGATCAGCCAATCGGCAGTGGTAGGCGACGCTGATTGGGTGCTTCCTTCTGTCAATATTGTACTGTAATGGGTATCACCGGAGAACCGTACAGATCTATAGAGCTCCTCCACAAGAGAGTGCACACCTTGCCCTCTCCCATCCCTCCGTCCTCGTCCACGAGTCGTCCACGCGACGCATCAACGCGACGCATCAACGCGACGCATCAACGCGACGCATCAACGCAACGCACCCCGAGCCGCATCATTTACCCACCCCCTCCCGCGCGGCAGCCTAAAACCCGCCCTTCAAATGGAGCCACTTTGCGACGATGACGCGCTTATGAAACGCAAAGTCCGCTTCATCCTTTGTCTGAATCTTGGTCAGGTCCGCCCCGTGCAGCGTCTCGATCACCAAATTCAGGCCCTCCTCCAGCTTCCCGGACTCGTCCTCCTCGATCCCGAGCTGCTTCTCCAGGTAGTCCAGCGTGTCCGTGCGCGCCCCGCACCCCTCGTCGCCGAGCACGTCGGGCGGCTCGTCGCCGAACCGCCGGAAGTGCTCGTCCTCCACCCCGGCCCCGTCCCACCCCCCGCGCCCTTCGTCGTACCGGAACCCCATCGCCACGGCCACGGCCCCGTCCACCATCTGTGCGCGCGTCGCCGTACCGCGGAGCCCGTCACCGCTTCATGTCGTTAGTCCTGTCCCTCGAAACCCCTGCCCGCGCCGCGCCCACGTTGCAAACCTTACCTCTTTCGAAATGCTCCCGTCGATCACGTCCCGCAGGAACTTCATCCGCTCGAACCGGTCCGCGAGGTTCACCGACGCCACCTCCCGCCTCGCCCCCGTCTCCTTGTCCTCGCGCATCTCTTCCCGCCCGTCCGTCGCGTCGCCGCCGCCGCGCGCCACCTTCCCTTCGCGCGCCGCCCCACGCGGCGCCATGCGGACCTTGCGCCCAGTGTGGCGCTCGAGCAGCAGCTCGCACGCCTTGTTTGCGACGTTCCACGGGCCGACGAACGCGGCGGAGAAGTCCATGCCCTCCAGCTCGGAGCCGATGGCGACGAGCACGCTGGAGAGGTCGTCCTGACCCTCCATGCGGTGCCGCGCGTAGATCTGCGCCGTGCGGTCGCCGATGCGCCGGTGGATCGGCTGCACCACGCCCTGCTGCCACTCGGCGTCCAGCCACGCCGTCAGCTGGTCCGACAGCCACCGCCGCTCCGCCTCCAGCGCGGTCGCGTTCGCCGCCGCCGGAAGCGTCACCCCGTCCTCGACAGGATCGAACTCCGCGCGGCACACGATCTGCGCGCGCAGCCGCTTGCGCAGGGGAGAGCAGGCGCGGGCGTGCCGCGCGGAGTGCAGCGGGGACGTCGTCCGGTGGTGCCCGGGTTTCAGCGTGAGCACGGAGGAGGCTGGGGCGGCGAGGAAGGCGAATTGTTCCATTGCGGAGAGGTGTTTAGTGGGAGAGTGGTTGCGTACTTTGAGCTTGGTTCACGGATGCTAACGTCTTCTCATCTCGCGGATGTGGGAGGTCGGAGGTCGGTAAATTGGCTGGCACTGAGGATTGAGGAGGGCGGCGATGCAATTGTAGTGGCGTGCAGATTTCGGTGATCGTCGTGCGAGATGATGAGTGGTGCAGACTGGCCCTATTCTTCGCTGCCCGCCTCCCATAGCCGCGAGTGCCGCCCCACGTGTACAGTGTACCACGTGGACACGTGTATGGCATCGTAATGTGGGTCGAGTGCTTCATGTGGGTCAAGCGTTTTCAAAGCCGCCCTCGCCTCTTGAGGTCACCAAGAGGACATCACAAGACAATCAGACAATCGCTCTTCGTCTACAGCGGCGTGGGTCAAGCGTTTTCAACGCTGCCCTCGCCTCTTGATCACCCTCCCCGCCAGTGGGAGGACATGAAAAGGCAATCCAACAATCACTCTTCGTCTCTACAGTGGCCCTTAGCCCCTTGCATAAATATATCGATCAGCGGCACACAATGTAGCGCTGCTCTACCCCACACGGACATGTGACTAAAATTAACCAAACGGAAAGGATCACACAAAGTGGGGCGCGCGAACGATCGTGCGTAGAGAGGAATTTACGGCGATCGCGCTCTATTGCTTGCGACGGAATACATCTGTAAAAAAAAAGCCTTTACGAAATCCAACCTGCAAAGCGAGCAACGCCATACGCGAAGCTTCGCACCACCCCTGGCACCCTAACGATAACGCAAAAGTCTGAGCGTATTGTGCTTCTTCCAGACGGCGCGGACGGAGGGGCGGGTGCTGTTTGCGCGGTGTCCGCGGACATGGAGACCGCGACCCTTCCTGCCGGCGGCGGTGAGGCCACGGAGCTCGCGATGCTTCATGACCGGGCGGGCGAGCCAGTTGAGGCGCGGGTCGTTGCGGATGGCGTTGTGGCTCGGGTCCACCAGGATGATCTCGAAGTACTTGTACGCGGCGTCCTCATTGACCCAGTACGAGTTGAGCACGCGCAGGTTGCCGCAGCGACGCCCCGCACGCTCCTCGGCCACGGCACGCTTGTTCCGCTTGAACTTGAGCTCCGTGATACCTTGATGCTTCGGCTTACCGTACTGGATCCCCTTTTTCACAGGGCGCTTGCGGCCTCCACGGCGGACGCGTACTGCGGGAAAGGGGGGCACGTGGGTGGGGTACGTGGGAATCGTTAGAGGCGGATTTTGCGAAAGAGATCATCTTCGGAAAAGGATGACGCGCAGATCCACGGGCTCAAGGACACCGCAAAACGGATGATGGACGCGCTGCGACGCATAAGGGACGGGTTCTCTTACCTCTATACACAACGAAACCCTGCTTCGACTTGTATCCCAAGCGACGCGCCTTCTCCGGGCGAGTTGGTCGCGAGGCGCGATGGATGGACGGGAGCTGGCGATATTCCCATGCGCGGACGCGGAGCATGAAGCGCATGACGTCGCTCTGCTTGTGGCGCCATAGCTCTTCCATATACTTGTAGGCTCCCATGTTGCTGTTGGTTGTTAGTAGAACGATCCGAAGTCCGAGGCGACGTCGGTACGCGATCAGCAGTGCGGTCGGGAGAATGGGTAAGAGAGACTACGGAAAGAGAGACCAGGATAGCATGCGGATGGGCGGCCGTGGGCAGAAAAATGGTTGATTTTTCGGTCGACGACGGTGCAATGAAACCTAAGTAATTTCAATTTTACAAGGGAAAAACAAATTGACGCATTCAGCGTGGGAGCTGTAATTACAGTGAGGGTATACTGTACAGCACTAAACCGTCACGGTGTAAGACGTTTCCTGATCTAGAGTGGCAATGGCTACTGCACACGCGTCGCGGCGCTATTTTTACGTGTCCACGTACGTCAACCTTCTCAAACCGATAACACACACCAACATGCGTCTTCTCAACTCCTGAGCCAAGCTCCCTCCTCCCCCGTTCACCACGCTTCACACCATCCTTGTTTCTCTCTTCGATCTTACTAACACACTTCTGAGAATCGAACGACACCCAACCAACTAACCAAGCTCCAAAACCCAACGCCATGGCGTCTGGCAAACAAGCCGCGACGGGCAACCCCGGCGACGAGTTCCCAATTCTGTGCGAGACGTGTCTGGGTCCGAACCCGTACATCCGCATGACGCGCCACGCGTGGGGAAACGCGTGCAAGGTGTGCGAGCGGCCGTTCACGTCGTTCCGGTGGCGGCCGGCGGGGCAGGGCACGCGGCCCAAGAAGACGGAGGTGTGCCAAACGTGCGCGCGCGCGAAGAACGTGTGCCAGACGTGCCTGCTGGATCTGCAGTACGGGCTGCCGGTGCAGGTGCGCGACGCCAGCCTGGCGCCGGGCGACCGGCAGCGCGCCGTCGTGCCGCAGAGCGACGGCACGCGCGAGTACGCCGCCGCGCAGTCGGAACGCGCCATCGCCACCGGCATCGTCGACCGCGTCTACGCCGCGCCCACCGTCAACTCCATCGCGGAGCGCGCGAAGAGGACCGCGCCCAAGTACGAGCGCAACCGCGCGCGCGTGTGCTCCTTCTTCCTGAAGGGCACCTGCACCAGAGGCCTGTACTGCCCGTACAGACATGAGAAGCCCGAGAAGGACGAGGAGAGCGGCATGGCCGAGCAAAACATTCGCGACCGCTACTACGGCGTGAATGACCCCGTGGCCGCCAAGATTTTCGGCAACCTAGGCATGTCTGCGGACGGCAAGCAGGCGGTGGTGTCGAAGAGGGGCGGCGGGGCTGCTGCGCCGCCGGTGCCGGAGGATGGGAGTGTCAAGAGCCTGTTCATCGGGGGCGTGAAGCCGGGCGTGGATGAGGAGAGCTTGAGACAGCTGTTTTCGGGGTGCGCACGCCTTTCCCGCATGTCCGTGCTCACGAGTCGGGGAATCGCATTTGTGGACTTTGCAGACCGAGCCGCGGCTGAGGAAGCGATGCAAAGAGTGCACGGGGCGCAGGACGTGAATGGGTGCAGAGTATTCGTGAATTGGGCGCGCGGGAGCACCAACAAACGAGCTCGCGTTCCTGACCCGTCCCAGCACCTCGACGCGTCACGCGATGGCGGCAAGGGCGGCGGGCATGGCCTTCAACCCGCCGCCCTTTCGGCGGCCGAGGATTACACGGTCAAACGACAGCGGGCGGAGCCGGCAGCAACGGCGCCACGGTCAGCTGCAGACGCTGCGCACAGACCCGTGAGACCGGCACACACGCCCCCCCAGGATGCAGCCAAGACTATAGTGTTGGGGAAAGTGTCCTCCTTCCCTAGGCCGACCGCGTCTGCAATACGGGACAAAAGCGCTCTACCACCAGCCATAGCTTACACCAGCCAGAATCCGTCTCAGCTTGGAAGTGTCGTGCGAAGAAAGTAGTTTTGTTTTGAGTGGGGGGTGGCTAGCATGCGGATAGCTTTGATTTGCTCCGCGCGACAAAGCAGGCAGGGGACTATGTAGCGATGCTGCGGGGCGAGAGGGTGAAGAGTGTCCCGAAGATTTTGTATTGAGAATAATAACCCACCGAACGTAGTTTTATAAAGAGGGGCCTACATTTTGAAACTAGCATAGCGCTACACATGTTGTTATAAATGAATATTAGTGAGACTGGGCGACGGCAAGCAACACGACTCTGGCGGGTTAAAAAGGCAAGAGCGTGATTCCATCGAGGCAAAGCGCCCCGTTCCGCGGCGCGCGTATCCCACTTTGACGCATCGATCCCTTCTGGTTGCGCCTCTGTACAAACAAAGTGGATACACCCTGGCAACTCTTCTTGTCCGAATTGATGTTGGCTTCGAAGAAGTGTTGCGCGCAAGAAGAAAGGAAAAAAGAAAAAGAAAAAGAAAAAAAAGACTGTATACTGTACACGGTACGGTATATAAACAGTATCTACAGCAAACGCCAACGGAAAGTGGTTTAGAATGAGGAGAACGAGCGGGTGTGGTTGCTCGATCCCCCCCCTCCGAAGACGCGCGGAGGCATGCTCCATGCGTTGCCGACGAGGTTTTCACCCTCTAGCATGTCGTCGTCGCCTTCCTCGGAAGGCTTGTGGTCCTTTTCCGGGAACTCGGCCACGCTGAACAGCTCCATCTCTTGGGAAGGCTCTGCGGCGCTGGGGGAGTCTAGGCTTGCAGCTTCTGGGGTCGTTTTGTGAGACTCCAGCGCTGCAGCATGCGCTTGGACTTGCTTTTCACACTTTAAACTGGCCGTGGCGGGGCGCGGCGACGGGGCAGTCCCACTCGGGCTTGGCGCAGGTGGAGGTTGTGCCAGGGCCTTTTCAAGGGCCTTTTCAAGGGCCTTGTTGGGCGAGGCGGGATTGGTATGATTCGTACAAGTAGTAGCTACTCCAGTGGCAGGCGCGGGCACGGCGGAAAGGTGCGGGAGGTTAGGTTTTGACTTGTCGGGCTTGAAGTCTGGGTTGGCGTGGTCGTTGTTGTTGGTGTTGTTCTGTGACGTAGCGGCATTCGGCACTGCGTTCGGAGGGGGTGTCTGCGGCGGCAGAGGATGCGGAAAGTGAAAGCGGGCGGCATGAGCGGGGTGCGGATGGTACGGGATGTGCATAGCGGCCATCGCAAACGGGTGCGGGATGCGTGTCAAGTGGTGGCGGTGGTGGTGGTGGTGGTGGTGGTGGTGGTCATCGTCG